GAGGGCAGGATTAAAATATTATTTATTAGGACAGAAGTGGCCCCAAGGGGGTGGGGTCAGGAGCGAAAGCAGGGAAAAGGGGGGAGGTCTGGAGTAGTAAAACTCAACTTATTGAGGATAGAAAAGATAAGATCTTGACAAATTTTGATAATCTTCAAGATCTAATAAAAGATAACTTTAACTTTAATAAAAGATTAACAATACGATAGCTATACACACTTGAATCTTTGCCAGATGGTCCAGTTTAAATATGTATAATACTAATCAAATTTGAAATCACCATTTTCTTTTTTTTCTGAATGCAATCCAATCTAGACATCTGTGTGACCTCGTAGCTCTTTTAGTTTTCATCTAAAATAACTTCCATTTTTAAGAATGCTTCTGAGGAGAACATTTTACCGAAACAACCAAATAAATATCTTTTATCTTATGTTTAATTTACTTTATTTTGACTTGATTCGCTGACAGATGAAAGTAAACAATTTGAATTTAATAATTATATGAAAATGATCCATGATCACAGGAAAATTGGTCGACAGTCCTTTAAATTCAACCATTTTTATTGGACCTCCTATAATATACCCTTCTAAACCCATTTTCTGATCAAAATATGTAAGCTATCCTCGTTTTTCTAGGTTTAAAAGTATTTAATTCTGATAATTCCTGTATGATTTCCTATAGTAGATATGTAATAAACATTGGGTAAGACGTTGTTATCATACTTTATCAGGCATAGATTTTAAGGTTACCTTTGTGAATCAGACATTGCAATCTTTGCATAGAGGGTCACTTGAAATTACACTTACAACCCCTTGAAGGGGGATGTATTAGATATCTAGTTAGTTAAGCAATGTTATGCTGGACTGATGGGTTGGGATGTTAAGATAAGGATTATATCAGGAATGCATATGCTGAGAGCTAGAGCTCCAACAATCTACTCAAAATAATTTAAAATTTAAAATGATAAACATAAGTTGGTTTTCTATCGTTCCATACTTAAATGTAGAAAAGTAAAAAAATTATGTTTATTATTACAGAATTATCCAGGTATTACCCTACCCTGCGTACGAAATATATTCTGTAATTTTTCTGAATTTTTTTTTAATTTTTTGCTTAATTATTTATTTTCCTTTAAAAGTTGATAAAAAAAAAGACAGCAAACCAAAATCAACCTTTGCACAGAAAAGTCATAAAAAGTACATGTCGTCTTTGTGGATATCTCTCATTATTATTAAGGACCCGCAGTATCAATAAAAGTCTAAGCATAAGGAAATATCAGTGAATACTCGTTTATGATTTGACTTCTTAATCAATTAAACCTTTATTAAGTGCGACTAAAAACTGTAATTACAAAATTATAAATTAGACCTCTGATATAAATCGTGAGAATATGGGGGAAGGGGATTAAAGGTCTTGGATGGAATTCTACATTCTAAATAAAATGTCGACATCTTTTATTTCTAAATATTTGCTAAATTTTTAGTTTCTTAGAGTTCACTGAAAAAATTAAAAGTTACTGAAAAAAACGCCTTGTCAATTATGAATGCATCATCAATAAAATCATTGTCCATACAATATTTGTCAACAAATGAAAGAATAAAAAGAAAATGAACATTTTCTATTTTCTGAAAGTGAGAGAGTCCAAATTATAGAAGAAAGTGCGTACAAAGCAAAGTGTACGCCCCTGGCAAATTTTAAGTTCCCACGTTTACGCAATTTCAAGATTTTAAATAATTACTTAAAAGTTATCATCCTATCTTTTTTATTCATAATATAAAATAACATTCAATGTGTCATACAGTCAATATTTTCACAATGGTTTAAAATTTGAAGTCAGATTTCTTTAATTTTTTTTTAAAATGAATATTCTGTTATTGTCTACTCTAAACATAGTTTAAAATTGCATATTAAATTCACGCCACTATTCCCGCCACTATTCACACCACTATTCCCAAACCTTTTTCGGTAAGCAATATGATTGATATGCTAGGGATGGGTAGTTTTACTATTCCGAAGAAAAACTGATCGTTTCGTTTATATCATAAACTAAAATTTAAAACTTTTTTTTAAAAAAGAACGAAAAAACGACATGTTAGCAATCCTTAAGTATATTTGAAATTGTTACAAATCAAATAGTTTTAAAGTAGCTTGATTCCCCCATTAAGTTAATTATAGTGTACATAATAGTACATAGTGTACTTAGTATCTCATGTTCCTTGGGACTGTTTAAAATCTTTTAAAATTGGTAGTTCAGTATCACTCTCATGACAAGTCATGACTATTTTTATATTTAATGCATGAACAAATTGAATGTTGAAAATGGTGATATATGTAGTAAATAAATGGCCTAGCTAATCAATCAATCAATCAATTTTTTATATTTAATGCATGAACAAATTGAATGTTGAAAATGGTGATATATGTAGTAAATAAATGGCCTAGCTAGACTGGATTGAATATTGGCATATTTGTACACCAAACTATATTTACAAGTTAAACATATACAAACGATAAATTAGAAAAGATGAGTTAAAGCTGAAACAGCTATTCTACATAACATCCGTCAGGTTCGTAACTGGGTGTTTTTTAGGGGGGGGGGCGCACCGAGTGAAACAAGGTGAACGAGGCGGGGAGTACAGGGAGGCCGAGGCCCCTTTGCATAGAAAATCTTTGATTTTTCTGTCTGAAAAACTAACTTTTTTACCTTAAATTCGTGAAGTGTTACAATCTTTTTCATTAACAGGCGGAGTCAGGGTTGCAAGATTTTGAGATTAGGAAAAAGCCACTTTTCATTTAAAAAAAACAGCCAATTAAGCCATTTCTGGTCAAAATAAAGCCAATATTAAGCCACTTTTTTAACTATAAAAATAGGTATTTTATCCTTTTTTTGAGAGATTTTAGTTATTAGTAACCTTTTTCTTTTGACTGGACTACCCATTCTTTATAAAACAATTTTAATAACTTATCAACTTCGAAGGGGGCCAAGCGCTGCAGCCACATGTCTTACATTTAAGACCCCACCTGCTGCCAGTCTCTACACGGGCATCCCACAGATATTATTTTTCTGGATCTACAAAATTCAATCCCCCTCTCTGTTTTGGAATTTTACGGGACATTGAACAAAACAGGAATCCCGGACTCCGCTTGTTGAACATAATACCCATTCAGGGGTTTTAAGTTTTACAACTTTTAAAGAAATACTCCAATTTTAAACATGAAACATAAAATTTGTGAGTTGCGTCTCTTCTTGAAGATTTTGTGTTTTGTATACATCAGACGAATATTTCTTATTCAAATGAATTGTACCGTCTGCAAAGCATGTACAATCATATGATAGGGCGGGCCACGTCTATTTCATACTCCTTGGTAAAAAAACGCCATTTCAAACCATTTAGAGAACTGCCATTGGTGTTATGACACTTAACTCCGTTTTAAAGTACTGAGTTAAAAATCTACTGTTAAAACACGAAGTATCTCTATATCAAAACTCAAAAAGAAGATTTTGAACCATCTTAAACCCTTTGAATGAAGTTTTAAAACACTGTAAATCCAAATAGATTGTCAAGTACAATAGATGGCAACGTAGAATTTGTACACTCTCAGTACAGCTGTATTCTTACGCCTTAAGTGTCAACTCAGTTTTTCTGTCCGACAAAATCATTAATAATAATGATAATTTTAGAATAAAGTGCCTTTCTTACAGTGAAATAAGTGCAACCATGTGTTCTTTATTTTCTGTTCTTAAACTTTTTAATTGAATCTTGGAAAACATGTCAACTATTGTGAGAAAATTTAGTTTTTTTTGTTATATTTGACACTTGTGACGTCGTGTATTATTAGTCCATTTCTCTGTTACCACCTATTGTATTTGATAATCTATTTGTGTAAACCCATTTTAAATTTCCAGTACACGGCCTTTCTGGGTTCTGGTTTAAACATAATCGACTTTTAACCGTATTCATCTCTGCTTTGTGTTAATAGAATACTGCAGACTTCAGTTTTTTAATTGAATAATAATATGGAGCTCTTTAAAACTGTTTCATTGTTATTCATTTTAAATTTACTGAGATTTATATGTACAGGGTGTCCCACAACAAATTAGACCACGTCAATAGTTCTAAATTACGATTTGGGGGACAACTCAGAAAAGTTAAGAAGAATGAATCCTTTTGAAAAATTTAATAAGGCTAATGCAGAAAATGCTAGATTTTTCGAGTATTATATGTGTATTTTGGCGTTAAAGACTGGAGAAAGTCTAATATGATATGGGACGCTCTGTATAAAACCCTTTGAAAAATTGTCAAGACGACATTTGATAAGCTCATTCGATTTTTCCGCAGTTCTGTATTAAATTAAGCTTGTTAAAGGGAGTGTTCGCGAAAAATGAAAGGGGGTATAGGCTTAATGCGATAAAAAAGCGCTTTTGATCGCTACTAACTTTACTTCTATCTGTTGCGTCTATAAGGAGAAAATTGTTAAAGACGTCTCATAACGAATAACTTAGCGCCCATACAAATTCAGAAAATTGCAACATACAACTTAGACCGTAAAAAATCAATTTAATTTCAAACAAATCATTCAGATATTACAACCTATAACTGTTTTATCAGTATTATTTTTCCCTTCCTCTCTAAACTTCTCTTAATCTCAGAAAAAAAGATCTAAAATGTTACAAGTGTATTACATTCATACGCTACAAAAAAGCCGATATAGTTTAACTTGAAGATTGAACTTTTTCGAAAATAAAATGAAATAATCAATAAAACAAAATTATTTCTAAAAGCCAATTGTTTTAAGCATCAATTTCAACGAAAGTTAGCAGGCAGAAGAACCAGTTGCTCTGATGGAGATATTCGGATCCAAGTTTAGAATGAAAAAATATTTATTGGATCAAAATAGATGCCCAATCATAGATATTTTGGATCAAAATGGATGCCCGAATATGGATCTCAACAAAAAAAATCCAATCTGTGCATGTGACAATGGAACCGACTAGCAGTTTATCCTGATAACACAAGTTCGGTATCGTCTGCCTGCAGGAAAAGATAAATGAAGTAAAATAGTAGAGAACATGTTTCCTTGCATTCACTCGGAGGTTTCGCCAATAGTTACTTTTAAAAAATAATATAATAGGATACATATCATTTTAAACACTGAATAAGACAGGACAATTTGTGATAAGGAAAAATTTTAGATTTCAGTTAATTCCAGTCATGCTTAGTTCACACAGTCTTACACGTTATTAATTACTAATTAGTTTGCAGAAACTAGATAGAAATTCTTCCTGATATTTCCATATGGTTGCCACAAAAAAATAAGATAAGTTTTATGACTGTTTCTACTGATAACAAATAGCTAAGTTTTACAACTGCCCAGGATCCAAACATTTTAACTTCTTGAATCCGGATCCGCAAAACATTTGCGGATCGACGGATCCAATTCTTTTTTTTTCAGGGTTGAATCAAGGATCCGCATGAAATGGATCCTAAGCACGGGTTTCCACTACTCATATCAATACTGACAATATAATATTTTAAATTCCACATCTTTAGGAATCACACAGGAATCCGCATGTGTCCTTAAGCTGTTAAAAATAGAAGAAAAATTTTGAGGTACAAGCAGTGTAGTTGATATTGGAGGTTTAGCTGCTTATCATTTTTCTTCTTTCTTCTTATTCTTCTTCTNGGGTGATTTTTCAAGAAAATATACGCCCTTTGAAATGATGTAAATCATACTGAAGAAAATTAATTCAAAAGTTAATAATTACCATTGGACTCTCATTTCTGTTTAGTTTGATGCTAGTGAGTGAGATGATAAGAATAAGAATAAGAAAGAAAATTAATTCAAAAGTTAATAATTACCATTGGACTCTCATTTCTGTTTAGTTTGATGCTAGTGAGTGAGATGGTTTCTAGATCCTTAGATGTTATATCCCTGAGCTGTTCAGCAGTAAACTGTAGAGTATCCTGACGAACAGGACCCAGTTTACCCGCTACAGTGTAGATGTGGTCAGCAGACCAGAAGTAGGGGATACGAGGGAAAACCTGAAGATAAAACAGTTCAATGACAAAGACTATGACTATGACTATGACTATGACTATGACTATGACTATGACTATGACTATGACTATGACTATGACTATGACTATGACTATGACTAATACTATGACTATGATCATGACAATGCAATTATGATCCTATCAAATTCAACCAATCCCAAAAACGAACCAATCCGTATTCAAATTCATATCCTTAACACAAATCAAATTCAAATCCCAATCCCAAATTCAATTCAAAATAAAATCCTTCTTTTAAGGATTGTTGGTCAAATTCTTGAAAAATAGAAAAATTAATTTAAGAAGTAAAAAAATGTTTTTGTTCTTTTCTGTCATGAAATACAATAGTTTGTTTTTCGCATTAATATTCAAATTTATAGTTAATGGAAAATAAGAAAAGGCAAGAGGATAAAAACTGAGATTTGTTTGACGAGTGTAGAACAGCAATGAAACAGAAATCTTAGCTTTTGATAATACCAAAAGTTAACTGTTAACTAATTCAGAGATTTTACTTGTTTTCTAAAAATTTCTATTATATACTTTCTATCTTTAGATTTCTCATTGTCAATTGATATAAGATCAACTTTCGTAGTCGACCCTAGAAATAATTTTCATCATCGGCCTGTAGACGGGTGAATACTATACATATACATCCTAGCTCTAATTTGAATTAAGAAACTAGTAAGTTTAGGATCAAAAGACTCTTTGTTGTTTAATTTTTTTCAAGAAAAAAACAAATTTGTCCATAATGAATAAACTCAAAAATCTTTGCTTACGAAGAAAGATCTTTTCAAACGTTTTTTAACTGACACAAAATCAGCCGGTTCCTAACCAAACTATCCAGATATTTATAGAAAAAAAATTAAAACTAACCACAATACAATAAGCCACTTAAAAAGAAAAACTTCCATCGACCAACAGAAAAAAAATTCATCGAATATCTAGATCCAAAACCAAAAATAAACATAACTGAGCAGAGAAATAGGACAATTCAAATATCGAGCACAAAATACCCATTTTGATTATAGAATAAAATAATTTAAAAAATGTTTTTACCTTGCCAACGTCTGCGGGTAGTAAAAAACCGAGCTTGTGAAGTAAAAGTATAAATGTTTCTGTTTGTAGACCCTAGATAAATGTAAAATAAAAAGTTAGAAGTGCCTAAACGGAACTGAAGACTTAGTTTCAAGTGATCCTCCGAAAAGTGGTCCCTTTCATACCATGATCGTCGTTTTCAATCTTAAAATATTTATAATTTTCATAAATCTGCATACAACATTTGACGATGATCAGTTTTCAGAAGAAAAAATGGATATCTCATATATTCATAAAGGATGCCGTTATGAATTGGACAAATCACTATATAAACGGAGATTCACTTAAAATTACGCATTCAGTCCCTCACAACAAAATTTCAATGAAATAGGGCGGGGAAGATCGATCCAGATAATAAAGAGCAGGGATAATTTTAGCTTTATAAGAGGCTTAAGGTGAAAAAATTATCTACTTATATTACATAAATTTGATCCTAATTCATTACAATTTTATCCATAGGAGCCAGTGGAGGTACTGGATCGGAATGTTATGAAAGTTGTGGAAAAATGTATTCATTAATTTAGACCATGACAAGCTCAAAAAAAGAGATGCTCCAATAAAATATTTTTTAGGACGTTAGTTTTTAATTAAAGGGAAAATTACCACATTTTAAATATAGCAACCAATTAAGAAATTCTTTTCATAATACCCCCCGCCCTGGAAAGCAACATTTTTTCTCTACCTGACTTTGTAGACTGTTAAATGGAACGAGTGGAATACTCTGTTTTGTGTTATTATAATGGAACGGTATTGGTTCCAGAGGAACATCACTGTTCTTTGGAATCAATCTTTCAGGGTACATCTTCACTCTAGAATAAGAATAAGAATAAGAATAAGAATAAGAATAAGAATAAGAATAAGAATAAGAATAAGAATAAGAATAAGAATAAGAATAAGAAGCTTTCTCTTGCCGGACCAGCGCCATTTCCTTTCCCTTTATTCCTGTTCCCTGCCAAAAACCTTCCCAGAGGTCATGTCAATTCACACAAAAACCTTCCCAAAGGTCATGTGAGTTCACACAAAAAGTTGGGCGTTTAGATCTTTATCGGATGAAAAACATAGACAAATAAACCAAAAACATTTGTTTAATTACCTGCAAGCATCTAGTAAAACCTCTTGCAGCCACGATATCAAGCTCTCACGACCCTAGTTAAGCAAAATAAATTAACGTTTTATTTCGTTTTATTTTCCACTTTTCGAGTATCGTAAACAAAATATTACGACAAAATTAACTCTTTTCGAGCATCTCCTCATTCCACAATGAAAAGTTTTAAAAAATTTAATGATTTAATGATTTTTTGTTTCATTCATGATGAAGTAATTTAGATAATATTTGTTTATTAGCACTATTGCATTAAAAAATGCCTACTTCAGCCCCCAAGTTTATACCTGTTTAACAAGCGCAGAAAGAAGTAATTTAATTTCTTTCATTTCAGATCTAGAATCCTGCCCGGAACCCTTCCCCCCCTCCTCCTCCGACATATCAGCATCACTCGAACTATGCTCACTTCCAACCTGAATATCAATCAGTCAATTATTACAATTGATTAATCAATCAATAAAGTATTCAATCAAGTATTCAATCAAACGTCCAATCAATCAATCAGTCAACCATTCAACCAATGAAAGAAACATTCATCTTCGCATATATCGGCTATTTAAGATTTAGTTAATTTTTCTGAGAGAATTATATATTTGCTCTAATTAAACAAGTTAGGATTATGATATGTGAAATGATCTTTGCACAACAAAACTATTTTAATGTTCCATCTAATTACCTCCGCTTTGACAGATGATTCATTCTTGGTTCTGAAATGTGTAATGACGGACTTCATGTACATAAAGTTCATGTACTGCGCGTGCGTGATGACCCCGTGCGTGAGTAGGGACTGGATGACCGACAACCGTGAGAAGGAAACTTTGTAAGTTTGGTTGTATCTCTGGATGAGAGATCCAACAGGATCCTCGTCATTTTCAACCTTTGAAAAAAATATAGAAACAGAAAACTCTTTTATGCTTATAATTCAAAAATTTGGTTAATAAAACATTTAAACATTTAAAAATAATAGCTAAAATCATTGAACAGAATAAGGTCATCGGATTTAAATAAATCTTAAAATAGAATAATAAGTTTGGACGCATTGTGAGAAATAAAGGTTCTTATCAAAGTATTAAAGCGATTTTTTTACGTCTAAACCTCTCTTAAGAATCAAACAGATCTTCTTACCTCTGTAAAATGCCAGAAAAGTTGAGTTTTCTGTTCAGCAGTCATTCCAAACTCGTCAAGTGTATCTGAACTTTCTGAACAGTCCACTAGAGATGCAGCACATCTATGAGGAGAATTACCCATCGCCTGTAACAAAAGAAAATAAAACCAAGACAAAAATTCTTTGAGAAATTTTAAAAATTAAAATAATATTTTTGTTACATTTAATGGCGTCCAATTAGGACTTTTGTAATTTTGTAATATTAAACAGACCTGCGTAGTCCATATGATAGATATTAAATTCTAAATGAAAATGTATACTTATAGTTCAAACCAAGCGCTATACCCCACAGACTACCTAGACAAAGCTAGGGATATCTGTCACACACTATCTAAAGAATCATTTGTCTGTCTTTAATAAAAATCTGACTTTCCTGAATAAACTTCTGAATGATAAGCTCAATGAGGTCAACCCAATCTTCGCAGATGGACAGTCCCCCTTCCCAGATTTTCGAGAAGGTTTGAAGGATGTTCGGAATATACAAGGATTCCGGGGACTCAAGATCTCCCGCCACATGATGCATCATCGTTAGAACGCAATCATTGACCAACGGTGTGTTGGTGAGATAATCCACGAGAACACGACCGTATTGTCGCATCAAATCCTTCTTCGTAAACTCCTTCATGTGCTCGATCAGATTAAACTCTGGTCCAGAGTACTCCGCCTGGCTGACACACTTTTCCAGCTTGAGCAGCAGCATGTGATTGCAGACTATTAGATCGGACAAGTACTGGAGGGATTGGAAATCCGGGTTGAAGGAACGGATAAGGATGATCATAAGTTGGCGAAGTCCCTTGATGTATGAAGACTGGAGATCTATAGTTTGAAGGTAGTTCTTATCAAATTCCGTCAGAAAATTGATATCATTGTAGGAGGAGAGGGTGTTGATAAATTCTCGTAGGGCGGTCACCACTAAATGCATTTTGCGCAAATAAGGATCGATATTAGATCTTCGCTGTCGGTTTGCAACTTCTAATTTCTCCATAATGTCGACGCCTTAAAAAAAACAATTAGATCATAATATTTAAAGTGTTCAAATATAATAACTTTTACTGAATGACAGTCTTCTCTTAAAAAAGAAAAAACAGCAAGATGTAAAATCCTAGAAGGACAATGACATTTATAACAAATTCCAGCTGGGACAATGAAGTTGTCAATCGGATAAAAGATGAATCAACTGTTTACCTTGATAAGTAAGGTATGCTAATGTGTTGATAGATAGGACTTTTCTGATTTGATCTAACCCTATTTCCAGCAGGCTTGCAAACTTCAGGAAGTAAGTTAAAAGCCAAAGGAAATGTGATTTGTCCATGTTAATTTCAGCATCAGGGCGGGTTAATTCCTCCAGAAGTGTTGATGTTAATTGGGAATAACCTGCAAAGAAATTGTAAGAATTTGTTCTGTTTCAGGAAAAATGTAGAAAAGTTATTTAAAAATAAGATGAGCCAATAAGTATGCTTTCCCAGACCAGCCAATCAAAAGAGCTGAATTTTGATATCAAAAATACTGCTCTTATATTCTAAAGTTTAATTGGAAAAGTTGAATTCGAATCAAATTCTTCTAAAAATATAAAAGATCGATTTATATTAATTAAACCACCTTCTTACCTAGATGTAAAAAGTCAACGGTGAACTCCTTCAGGAGTTGTGAGATATCTTCATCATTTGGTAGATGATTAACCATCCCCTTGGACCTCATCCTATTCTCCTTAGTTCTCTTTAATAGTCTTAGTCTTGAAGATTCTCTCCGTTCCTAAATAATTATGATGTAATGATTTAATGTGCTAATAATATTCTTATGAAAATGAAACAAAAATAATGTTGTTTACTATGATAATTCCCGTAAGAGTAAGTTTAGATGCAAATTACAAAAGTATGAAGATAAATGTAAATAAGGATTATGTCTTATTTTTAGTTGAGTAAAGTGGGGCCCTTTAAGGAGATACAAATAAAATCTTTATAAATAGCCAGTTTCTCTCCTTGTGGGTTTATATCCATCAAATGTCACAACAACAAAGCCGATCAGGCCCCCATGGAAGGTCAAGCCATTAAAAAAAAAATTATTAAGAAACTTAAAATTGTCCTAAAAGAAACAGGAAAATCTGCAATATTTTGCGTTGTCCTGTTTTAAAATGTACGAAATAGGAAACCTCGAGAGAAAGAAAAATAACAAAAAGGTAAGATTATTACTTGAAAGAGGTAAGTTGTAATAAAAGTTACCTGTGGTGACTGTGTGCTAGTTTTGGCTCGAGGTTTTAAGGGGTTTGTTCTCGGTTGACGACAAACAATTTCGTCCTCGTTACTGGAGGTTGAGTTACCCTGAAGTAGCTCCCTATACATGGCCGTCTGTGAGATATCTCCCAGGTCATTGTTGGTAATCTAGGAGAATAGAATTTAAAAAATAAAAAGAATTTAAAGTTAGATATACAAAATTTACAAAATAATTACCCGTGTTCTGCAAGGAATTCCTGTAACATCGCTGGAATCACTTACGCCTTTTTCTAAAAAGAAAAATTATAGGATGATAATATTTTTTTTACGAAAATATTTGAGTATTGTTGTCAGAATCTTGGTTTTTACCTTTGATGTCCCCGGAAACATAACTGTATTCGGATACGGAGGAATCACTGGCAGCTCTGTAAAAAAAAAATCCAGTTAAAGGAAGTTTTTTTTTGATATCATGACTTTTCTACAATAATGAAATTAAGTGAAGCGCCAATTATTCTTATTATTGTCATTAAAGGCATCTTATTCGATTAAATTGGGGTGGACCAATTAGGGTTCAATATAAAATGTAAAAAAAAAATGTAAAGACCCCTCCCCTTGTTCTAGGGACTGTCAATGTGATTTCAAGTGACCCCCAATTTCTAGTTGCCCCATTCACAAGAGTGCCTCTTAACACAAGTTTGAGAATTAATTGTTTTCAATCTGGAATGCAGGGTGGCCAAAACTTTTTTGAACACATCCGTACAAAAATCCGTACATTTTCAGAACAAATCCGTACAATTTTCGAAAAACAATCCGTACAATCCGTACAATTTTTTTTAAAAATCCGTACAATCCGTACATTTTTTTAAACCAATCCGTACATTTTTTAAAAAATCCGTACATTTTTTAAAAAAATCTGTACAATCAGTACAATTTTCGAAAAAATCCCATTTTTGAAAAAAAAACAATAAAATTCAATTTTTCATTCATTGTCTTTTGTGTTCAGTTCATGTAAGAGGGTTTAAACTTCTTCAGCAAGAATCAATCTGTAAAAAATTGGCTTCATACATATATACAAACTAAATACTGGGTACATGATACTAGGTGCATGATACTGGATACTGGATACATGATACAGGGTACATGATACAGGATACAGGATACTGGATACA